GCTCCCCAGGGTGACAGCAACCCTGGGGATCCCATGGGTGACAGCAACCTCTCCACCAAAAGCATCTTCCTTATCACTCTCCCTGTCTTTTGCGGTGGTGCAGCACTGATGGCACTGACCAACCCAAGGTTTCCTCAAGCAAGGCATTTCCCCAAGGACACTCGTGCTTAACTAAAAAGCCACCTCTCTCCTTTCCAGTGCCCTCTCTGAGAGGGGTGGGCAGGTAGCACCAGCACAGCCCCACTCCCCACCAGCACTCCTTGTTCATGGGGTTTTCTGCACACACAGGTGTGCACACAGGAGGTCACAAAGCTTGTAATCTTGCATGCAAGACTGTTTCTTTTGCCTTTGGAAAAACATTGTGTCGCATCTTGGCTGGTGCAAAAGAGCCATTTATGTTGGAAACAGCTTTCAGTGACTCCCTGGCCAAATCAGCAGGATCCTGGCTGTCTTTCCATGGCCTGTTGGGGTCTCCTTAGGGTGGGAGTAAAGAAGAGGGACAAGCAGGGATGGGCTCATCTGCAACTGAGCTGTACCTATGAACGTAGGGGACACACACAGGCTGTCTGGCATGTGCTGCCAAAGGACCACCCCGACAAGCCCCTTGGTGTCCTGGCTCGCGGCCCCTTCGCAGCACTGTGGGGCAGGTGGTGCTGCTTGGTGGCTGAGAAAAATCAAGTCGTTTTCTGAAGGGAGGGGAGACAGCCACACCCTAGTAATTGGAAATACATCTGTGACCACTTGGAAAGTTATTTTTGCTACATGAAAGGCTGGGGCACAAGGACAGGGCTTCTCCAGACTGTATCACCTCTTGGCTTCCCTTCTAGTACAGCTCATTTATTTGGTTTGGCACCAGCTAGCTGAGGCGTGTAGCTGCCAGGTTCACCATGTATAAGGAGCTGCTGATGTCAGGAAGAGCTTTTGGCTGCAGGAAAGCCCTGCAGATGTTGTCCAGGTGGTTCTGGTCTCTTCGAGCATTTAGGAACAGTCAAACCATGTAACAATTTTACAATGATTATTTGTCTTTCAAAACATAGCTGAGATTTCTATCAGGCACTGGAGCAGAAGCAAGGGGCAACATGCAGTGTGAAGACTGGGTGAGGTGTGTGGTATGTTCTGGCAGTGAGGGTTGGAGAAATGCCAGAGGAATAGGATCTGGCAAAGTGTGGAGGGACTGGCACTCCAGAAGAGCTGGAAGTAGCTGGCAGGCTCCTCTGTGCAGTATTTTGCACCACACTGCTTGTCAGGCAGGGCAGCCAGTGAGGCTAAGCAGAGGGAGAGGGGTTGCCTGCCCACATTTAAGTTCTTGTGGTTCCCACATTTCAAATTTGGACTCGGGATCCAGCTGGGGCAAAGAGAGACTCGTATCACTTCTCTGAAGGGGTGGGCTTGCCTTCAGCAAGCCCATGCAGATGACCTGGTGAGCTGGCTGTGCCTTGCTCCTCCCTGCCCTATGCATTCCCCACTTGGGCAATGAACCACTACCTACAGGTGCCTCTTCCACAGAGGTGTCTCCCAGCCAAATCAAGGCAAAGACATCCAGACCCACTGATGCACTCATGTTCTCCCTCCAGATGCTCTGCACCTTGCTGCTGAATGGGAATCTCGGGCCACGTGCAAGAATGGGCTTACACCCATCACCTGAGTTAGAGGGCATTCAGATGCCCAGGGTACAACCTGCTTCTTCCACCTCTCCCAGTTCCCTGACTATTCATAGCCTGGAGGACATATGGACCTTGCTGGCACCACACCCAAACCCACCCAGGGCAGGAGGAAAGGGTTCTTCCTCTGCCTACAAGCCTGTTCAACCCACCAGGTGACCTCGGAACACCCCTGAAGTCTGCCAGCAGGATTAGAGGCTGCTGTTTTTCTTGAAAATATTTCTGCTTCCACATCCCTCCTAACCTCTCTGCCACAGCCTTGCCTTTGCCACCTTACTCCCTCTTCCTGGCCTGTCCCCGCTCTCTTTCTCTGGAGTACACACCTTTTCTCCACAGGTTAGTTGTTAACTTCTTGAGATTTTGAAGAAACCCCTGATCTGCCAAAAGAAGAAAGAGAAAGAGATTTGGACTTCTGTTCAGGCATGTCTTACCTTTAACTGGCCTTTATTTATGTGGGAATTACTACAGGGTTTGCAGAGAGGCCTTCCCTGCTTTCTTTGCGAACCTCAGAGCCACTTACTCTGCTTGTTCACCTTGTCATCTAAGAGAGAGGGAAACCTCAGTCAAGTTGCCTTAATGTTTATTTTATTTAAAGAATCAGAAACACAGTCATTATAGTTCATTTGTACTCATATCTGCCAACACTTCCTAAACCACGTTAACATTCATGTATAACAAAAACATTTTCTGAGCTGTGCAAAGTTCAAAGGAATTGTTCAATTACTTGAACCCACTTTTAGAAGAGCAAACCTGGCATTTTACAAACTGAGGCCACCAGAAGGAATCTTTCCTTTTCCCTGCTCTGTTACAGGAGATGCAGACGCCCCCTCCTCCCCCTTTTCCTGACATGACAGATAAAAATTAGACCACAGAATGAGCTGAACCTCTCAGTCCAGGACTTTTTGAATGGCACTGGGTCATATTTTTGTATCACTGAGCTGTTTTAAGTTCACTTTAATACTTGTGCTCCTGGCATGGAAGTGATTTGTCCAAGGAGATTACTCAGTAACCCAAACTGTGATGATAAACAATAAACAGAGGCCAGAAACAGCTGCTATCAAACAGAACACATCCCCTCCCCCTCTATATTTTTCCTTGCAGGAGGTAGGACTGAAAGGGTTTTGACCATTTAAAAAACCCCATCATCCTCCCTGCAAAATATATTTCAAAGCATTGATTTAATAATATGACATCTGCATGTTTTCTTTGATCTTCTCACACACCAACTTTTGTCCTGTTAGAGTTAAGCATGAAAAGGTGGAAATCTGGAACCATTTTAGATCTGGCTAAACAGAATAGGCAGCAAGCAAGCTGCCATCCTGTTTCATTTTTCTGACTGTAGTAAATACACCATGGAACAGGATTTTAAGAGGGCTTTAACCACTGTAAGTTGTCAGAAAAAAATCTCATCTCTGACAGGTCTAAACCAGAATTCTTATTGGATTCAATAACACACATTTTGGTGTTGCTGACTCGCTAACTGTGCAGTTTGCAGTTTACTGTTTGAGGTGCAGTGACACCAATTCTGACCTGGACCAAATAAGTGGAACAGATATGGCTCTAGTCTCAATCAAGTCTTTCCAGAAGACATTTCCTCAGTCTCTTACTGGTTATAAAAAAGCAATTTCCTCTCTACAGTAACTAAATTTTTAGTGGCTGATTCATTACGATCTGGAATATCAACAAATGCGGCAACATTAAGTATATAAAGAAACACCCTGAAAATGAGGCCTCCCTGTTTGAAGGTGCTATACTTGGCCATGGACTGTGTTTCTGGAATTGGTTTGTTACATGTGATAGCAAGAAGAACTTATTTTACAGAGAACAAAGTCACAGAGTTGAACTTAAATAGGAATCCTCACTTACATGGGTTTTGATATGTACTAGTACACACGGCTTGAATGAAAACAAAACTTACACCTTCACATATGAAATACTTGTAACACAGTAATGATGTTCACCCACTGGGCCTCTTCCCTTTAATAAGATCATCTCCAGGTTACGGTGCCTCCGACAGGCTTTTAAACACCCACCACATGTGGGCTTTGGCAAACAGCCAGCTGCTGTCAGAGGCAAGGTATGGATACAGCTATGAAAAGCCTTTCATCACCATTCATTCCTCAAGAGCTGATGTCTTTTTAAATACCCTCACAATTGCATTACGGCATTTTTTTTCTCATTCTGTTTCATTCAAATAACTGGCTAAACTCACTTTACATTTATTGCACCTTTAAGTCCCTGGTAGATGGAAGCTTATATTGCCTGATACGGTTTGTATTGTAGCTTGACCACGTTAAGAAATCCAACAGTATCCGGAACTGTACATTTCTACAGTAAGAAATCACATTTCAATAATGCTAATTACAGCTTGTCGCAGATCAGCTCTTGTCTCCATCATGCAACGACAGAGGAAAACTCCACAGTCCTTGTGTGTGCTAGAACCTGCAGTGTTCTTCTTATTGCCATGAAAAAGTCAATTAAAACGACTCCTCTGGGAATTGCTTCCAATTCTGGAGTCATTATCACTCTCCAGACAGAATGCTGTGCTTCAGCGTGGGCCTTCAGCCACTCTAAATACGTAGGAGAGAGCAAGCGTGTGCATGTTGCACAGGCACGCTCCCCCAGGTATATTGGTGGCCATGCAGCTTTTTTCTCTTTTCCTCTATGAAGCAAGAACAAGCAGTCTGATCTCGATCTCCAGGTACACTTCTAATTTCATATGTTGAATGCAAATCTTGTCGCAGCCTCTCTGTTTAACCAAATCTTTAACAATTAAAAAAAATAGCACCAGATGTATGAAAAGAGGAAATGTCTGATCTAGTAGGAATATATATAAAGTAGAGCAATTCTTACAGTAAAAAGGTACGTTGTACAAAAAAGCAATGGAAAGTGATACCAAAGGACAAAAATCCATGCTGCATATAATAAGGGCAGAAAACAGGCAAAAGGGATTCTGCTCAAATAACCACAGTTTAATGGTGGAGCTGTACTTCCTCCAGGACTTCCCCGGCAGCAGCGCCAGGACACCAGGTGGTATGGGACTCTGAGCACTAACACACTCACCGAGAAACTTGCGCAGCATATCTCTGAGGTATATAGAAAGCATGACATTAACATTTTGGACTCCTCATTCTTTCCTGCACAACGATGCACTGATCTTTAGCTGGGGTTTTCTCCACCTTCCCCTCCCTCTTTTTCCCTTGGGAAAAACAAAATCCCAGTTTAAGAGCTTCCTAGCACACTTTCTTGAACTCTCAAATCCATCTTGCATAGGCCAGTAATAAGAACACTGCAGTCTGACAAATAAGTTACAGCAATATAACAGCTTTCCTCTTAATTTTTTTTAAAGATATCTTCTCTATAATTTACACAAAGGGTTAACAGCCAGAGTTTAGGTTACTACAGTCCAGATGGGCGTCCTTTCAGTCTGTGATTCCAGGTGGAAGGCACTACTTCAACATACCACTGTATGCACCGCACACGGTCTCGGGAGCACAGCGGGCACTGTGTCTCCAGAGCTGCAGACTGAAGGGCCTGGGGGAAGTCTTTGGAAATAAAAATGGCAGTGGTTATCAGTCCAGTTTCTCTTTGCTGTCTCTTCTTGTGCTATGCAGTTTCCCCTGAAAGCTCCTCAGTTGAGAGAGCGGCGATTCATCCTCAGAAGCTCTCGACAAAGCTCCCGGGGAAGAGGCCCGTCCTGCCATTCCTCTGCAACGTCCCTTTGTACCAGCCATCCTCCCGCTTCTTGTGCACAAACACAATGTCACCTTCCTTCAGTTCGATCTCAGCCTCACTCTGTGGTGGGTATGGGACCACAACACGGTACCTTTGGAAAAAGAAATGCAAGGACTTGGTCAGTCTGCACACTGGAAGCAGCCAGGCACCAGTACCAGAAATCTTGGGAAAAAATACTTTTGGAAATAGCAGTAAGTTACATTTTTGCACACTAGTTGTATCCAATGCAGCTACATTTTCTACTAAGACTCAGTAAGACATGGAGATTTCTGGCCAGCTTGACTGAAGACAGGACCAGTTTCTGGACTCCAGTATCTGGAGCCAGGCCATGAAAGCAGGAAAGCAGGCCATGATCCCAATTGTGTGCTGAGCCTGTGCCATGGACTCAGCCCTTTATCCTAGTGCTGCATCTGCCTCTGCTGTAACATGTCTCATCCAGCTCTGCATCTTCTCTATCCAAAATCATAGAATCATAGAATGATAGAACAGTTTGGGCTGGAAGGGGCCTTTAAATGTCATCTAGTCTAACCCCTCTGCCAGGGGCAGGGACATCTTCAACTCGATTAGGTTGCTCAGAGCCCATATGTGAACTGCATGAGTCAGCTTGGTGTCATCTGCAAACTTGCTGAGGGTGCACTCAATCCCACCATCCATGCCATTGATTAAGATATTGAATAGCACTGGTCCCAGTATGGACCCCTAAGGGACACCACTTGTCACCAGTGTCCATTGAGACATTGAGCCGTTGACCACTACCCTCTGGATGCGACCGTCCAACCAATTCCTTATCCACCAAACAGTCCACCCATCAAATCCATCCTTCTCCAATTTAGAGAGAAAGATGTTGTGGGGGACCATGTCAAAGACATCCAGATAGATGACACCTATAGCTCTTCCCTTGTCCACTGATGATGAAAAATGGGGTTTGCAATGCTCCCACTGCCTGTGATACCAGCAGAGGTTAGCTAAAGCATTCACATTTTTTTTCCTATGTTCCTTGAGAATGTACTTTGGGTCCCTCAAACCTGGAAGGGAAGCTAAAATGGAGAGGTATCAAATGACTTTCAAAGCACTCTCCAAACCAACAGGAAGCCTCAGCCCTGAATCATTCACAGGGCTCTCTGGGAACTTAGTTTTCAAGTGTCACTCCATTTCAATGAAGTAACAACGTGTCTGAACCTGATATGGCTATTCTGCACTCAAGGCTTATCAGCAGGCGTCCTCCTGAGAGCACAGACTGGGCCATTTTATATCAATGCACTTGTGTGCAGAGCAGGGAATATATTTCTGCTGCATGGTTGTTTTTTTTCTTCAGCACGTGTACTTTTGCAGTCATCTGGCATTTGGTTAACAGTCAATAACTGTCTTGCTAATTGCAAAGTAATGAATATAGTAAGATAGTTAAAAGATGCCAATTGATTACATAAAGCGCATCTCCTGAGAATATTTCCACAACTGCTGCATGGCTACTGATGCCTCAGTTATGTCTGTAACAAGATGAGTATTTATTTAAGATAATATCCTGTTGTTGGGGAGACTCTCCAGTGGCAGTCACCCATTTTCTTTGCAGACATTGCTCAGGTACCTAGTGACTGCAGTTCTGAAACTATGGACTCCACTTTGACATGACACTGAAAATACCACCTCTACATTTGGACATCTCCACAGCCAAACAACCCACTACTTCATAAAGTATTAAACTCTATTTGGAGCAGGAGTTCTCTAAAACCTGACTGTGGCTTTTTAATCTTGACACAGCAACACAGTCATGTGGAAAATACACGTGTTAAGTACCATCAAAAATCTGCCGGTCCTCTCTGTACCTTGGTTAATAAATCTAGCTGTCACTTCCTTCCTCTGTGGAAAAGCAAATAACAGAGGTTGAAACGTGTGTTGCTGCCTGGCTGCAGAAAAATGGTCCATCAAACTATCATCTGTGGAACTGCTACACTTATATTATGAAGCTTTGGCAATTACACCCATTATGCAAATGAATGCACACATTATTTCAAACACTCTGCTGCAGTGTTGATTAATTAAATTATCAGAGTGGAACAATTTCAGCCAAGATGTTGCCAAGTTTCAGATCTCACAGCTCTGCACAATCACAGCACATTGGAACTCTGCACCAAGAATTTTCGGGGCTTTGAGAAAGAAAAAAAGCTGGACCTCAGTGTTAGTTGAGTGTTGTGGAGGTACTCATGGACCTTTTTGGCAGGTCAGGAACAGAAACGCAGGGTGTCTTGGGCAGGGTTGCTCTAAAGACTCAACTGGGACTGCAAACACCTCATGTCATACCCTAAGCACAGAGGTGTCCTTTTAAAGCCAAGCTACATCCTAGGAGTGATGAGCTGCTAGTCCCTAAATGGTTCATATGAGGAGGGAGGTGACCACACTCAATAAGAATGTGCCCATCCTCCTAAAGGGGTTCTACACAGCATCTTCTTAGAGATTTAGAAAAATAAACCACAGTCACTGCATTACAAAATGAGGTCCTTTTTCCCATTTAGGAAACCTCAAATGCTATGGTTTAAATTTAATTAACTACAGTACCTTACAGGATATCACTGAAGAGGTTTTTTATAGAGTAACAAAATAGTACTGACAAAAGACCTTCCAAATCAGTTAAGAAATTGTCTGTGAAAGATGGAAAAAGATGCAGGGCCTGGGACAGGCATCCCAGTGGGGGCTGCAGGGGCAGCAGCCAGGCACTGTTCCTGGCACACGGTGCTGTGCCGCCCCTCCACACCTCCAGGTGGCACCTCAGCCTCGCTTATCCTCTGCAATGGCATTGCAAGGACATATATATATATTAGCCATATTTTTTTGGCAGAAAAGGTCTCTTCTCCCAGACATCCTCCCTCGCTCCTAAAAAGGCAGTCCAGGATACTTCTATTTATATCTACCTTTTTCATTTCCCCTTTTGTCCCCTCTTTGGTGTAAGAAAATCTACAATTTTATAGTATCTTCTCAAACAGTCTCTTGGCATTTTAGATGGATCTCAGTTTTCTCAGTTTTGTTTGGTATTTTCTGTCATAAATTGTGGTCTCATATAGATAAAACTCTGCCAAATGTTAATAGTTTTGGCCCAAATTTTCCACAGCAGTTGGCTGTGTCAGGCTGAGGGTCCAACATACAGCCCAATGGCTGCATCATTTCCAGGAATAACTTAAATGTGCACCAGCAGGAGCCAGGTGAGGACCTCCACAAACTGCTCTCAGGTCCCTGTATTTGGGAGCAAAGACCTGTCCTGTGGTCGAACTGGTCTCTCGGGGATGGTGTTCCTTCAGAAAATCACCCACTCTCAACTGAGTTAAAAGCATTTAAATCATCCCAAAATGGCACATGTTTAGGCCTGTATGAGCACTGAAGGTAAAATCTCTGCTGATTCATGTTCCAAGCTGACCTAGCTCTCCGGGACCTCAGAGGTTGCATTTCTCTTCCTTTCCCAACACTGGGTCCCTCTTGTGTTTTTCTCTCAGGGGACAGACTTGATGTTGGACTTCCCCACTGCTGGCTACTGTGGCATCTTTGGGTTGGGCACTTCATCCCTGGAGGGGACTGTGCAGGACAGGTAGTGCCCTGGGAAGGGTCCTTGGTGCCCAAGAGATAATACATGGGAGGCTGCAAGTGGTATCACCAAGGACAGAGGATGGGGTTTGCCTGGGCAGGGAAACCTCAGGGAGTTGGAGGGCAGGGTGAGGTAAGGGAAGAGGTGGAGGAAGAGGGAGAAAAACTGGGAGCAGAGAAAGAAATGGGACCATGATGAAAACTGGAAGCCCTGACAGAAGGTGTGGGTATGGCTGCTGAGGGGGGAAGATGTGTTGAGCTTAGTCTGGGAGAGCAAAGACCCTTGGTGGGAGGGAGCCTGGGCAGGGACATGGCATTCAGTGGGGCATGAGTAGAGGCTGGCACTGGGGCTGAGGGTGGGATAGGCAGCCTGACAGCAATTAGCTCACTAAGGCAGGAGTAGGTCCATTCTCTGCTGTCAGCAAAGACCTTGAAATCCCACTGTCCCCTGTCTTCATAGCACTTGTCCTCACAGTCAAAAGAAATAGCTCTCCCACCCAGCTCTCCCTTTACTACTGCTATTGAAATCTGGAAGGTGCAGCTAAGACTCTTAATATCAAATAGATGTCACATGATGGAAGTTCTGGTTTTGTTTCCTTTAAAGAAGCAAAATGATTAAAAATGTCATGCATGTAGATGCATAAAGACATCTACTACCTTAACAGAGCAGGAGTGTTTCACACCCATGCACCTGAGATGAAGAAACAGGCAACTAAAATTGCCCATGACTTCACTTTTGCTTCCGTGCAATATAATTTTCTATTATATGACTGCAGACTATTTTTCCCCTAGGATGCCTGCCTCATTTAGTGCACAAGATGCTTCTCTGGACGTGAGTCAAGGCTCTGACATGGAAACCACCCCATCTTTTGCAGAGGTTGGAATATCTCTAGTAAGTGACCGTGATGAAACTCACTGAGTAGGACAGATATGGGGAAAGTGCCATCTCTGACTCCTCCAGCTGCAAAGCCTCGTGCCACACTTTCCACAGAGTAATACTCATCTCATGCACCCTGGCTGTGTAGGAGTCTGTTGTACGGTCTAAATGACTCATGCAGGCTCTCTGTCAGCGTGCACATTGAACAGTATTGACCAAAACTGATCAGTAATTAAGGGTTGGACTCAGGCCTGGAAACTGATAAAAAACTCCTCCAAAATACTACGTATCTACTCACTGAGTAAATATGTGCACCCAGGACACTGACGGAACTAGAGAAACCTAAGAAAGCAAATGTACAGTGTGGCAAATAAGGTCTGCAGGGCTAACCTTCAATCTGATTCTATTTAGAGTTCTTGAATTTGGATGCTTAATGCAAGTTCCTGTTTGTCAAAGTACCATGCACTAAGGACAGGTTTCAAGAGTCCAATCCTGTGACTCCAACAGGTCCCTTATGTGCTAGGATACACGGTTTTGGAAGGAACAGATAATCGGTGCCAATGAAGCATCTAGCCCAGTTAACCACCACTCTTGTTTATCGGTGGAGCTCTGTTTCTCCATTTTTTTACTGGCAAATTGAAGAGATCTGCAAAGCACCTCTGCACAAGCCAGAATCCGCTTCTCCATAGCACGGTGTCTGAATCAGCAACCTTAGAAGAACAAGTCTCAGTTGGGTCTCTTACCCTTCTGCTGGAAATATTGCAGAATTCAATTTCTGAGATGGTTACTTCTAGTTTCTCAGTCCTAAGGCAGGTATCTCTAGTCAGAGAAGCACTTAACCATGTGCATACATGTCACTGTTCAGTCAGAAATTACTCCTGGGGTCATTTCTCCAGTAGCACTTTCCAGGAATGAAAAGAACCCTTCTTTTGCCTTCTTTTTTAGCAAAGAAGATATACGTGCACAGGAAAATTGAAGTCAATGGGCGTTAAGCACATGCTTGAATGCTTCCTTGAATTGGGAGCTCAATTTCAAATGTGGCAGTGATTTGTAGAAAGATACCTGGAAACATGGAGGGATCAATTTTAAAGGTCAAACTTACTGCTCCCATCTTATTTGGTGGTTACAGCTTGCTTGAAAGCTACACGTAAACCACAGAAACACAGCACAGATATGCCAGTCATGACAGTAAGTCTGGACATGGCCACTTTACCAGAACATAACATGGCAGAATTAGTGCCAGTTACTATAAGAGTCAACAACGCGTGACATGTTTGAATCAGGTTTGCATCTGGGAACAGTGCCAGGCAGTGAAGGGAACATGACTCACACACACACACATGCACACTCAACTCTCCTGTTTTGCTTAATGTACAGTCATATTTTCTTGAAGGGGGTAGCAAGGAAACTACTTTGTTTTGGCGCTGCTAGGCACACAGCACATCCCTCTCTCATGTGAACAGTGTTGGTGGGATGTGGGCAAGGCTCAGCCCAGCACCTGCCTCACCACAGTGCAGCCCTATACTGGTCCTGTTTCTTCCTCCAGAAGAAAGTGGATGGAGCAGTAGGTGGAAAAAAACATGTGGGGTAACACAGCCTGAGAAGGTATTCACTTGGCAGTCAATCACTGCAACACAAAGTGACAAGGACACCACCTGGGAAATTTCTCTGCTCTGCTACTTGGACTGCTGGATGCTTTATGGTAGAGAGCAGCTGAAAAAAGGTGGTTTTATAAACTGATAGTGGGAACTACACCCAGAAGGCAGACAAGGGCTCTGACTATCCCAGCAAACGGTATAAATACGAATGCTAAATGATGGGAGAGCTAGAAGCAATTTCCTTTCTAATCCAGCCATCCATAACCAGGTTTTGGAATATCAAGAAGGATAATTGTTTTCCTCACTCTTTCTGTGTAAGAAAAAAATTAATAAGTATATAAACATTACCAGCACCTTCAAGAGGGTGAAGCTCACTTCACCTTCCTGTCTATCTGGCTGCAACTCCCAGGAAGAGCTGCACTGTCAGGCAGCAGAATAGGCAATTCTTCCCTTAAATCATGAGCAATCAGAGCCTTTTAATGCACCTCTTGGTGCATTGGGTTTGATCAGTAACCTGGATATGGGAAGAGCTGGAGCTGCAAGCCAACCTCTATAGGAAAAGTAGCGGTGCTCTGCTTGAGCCTCATTTCAAATGCTGTAAATATTAAGGAATGTGCTACTTCTTCCAATCTTTCAGTGCTCTGTTTCTATGCGCACAGATGGGCGTTGGGAGACAGAAAGCCAAGTACAGCTAAGTGTACTGAAATGCTTTGCAGCTTTTTAAAATTTCATCCAGCATCTGAATCTGTTTATCTAACCTTTTTTTCCCTCTTCTCCCTTTTCTTTCTCAGAGAATTGCTCCTACTGTGCAGATGAAATGCAACAAAATGCAAACAAGCAAAATATGGAGCTGAGTGATGTTGAATGCAAGTTGCTCCATTGCCAGATGTGAAAAGAACAAGTGGTTTGAAAACCATAATTTGTTTTAAAAAAAATATAATTTGGTACTTCTGAGAAAATTTGATGATTTAATGAGCACAGATGGATGTGGGATGAATTTCTAGGAGACAAGTGTTTAATGTATCTGCTTAGATTATTCCAGAACTAAGCATTATCCTTCCTAGTGCATGAAGGTAATTAATATTTCCCATTATGGACATGAAAAAACCCATATGATCAGTTAAGGAATGCAGATACACCAACGATATGGAAGTTAATTCATAAATCAATTAGAGAATCTTGCCTGCTGTGTATAATTAGGGTTACTTCAATTATAGCTTATTTTTGGATTTAAGACTCAGGAATTAAAATCAGAGTAAGTTCCTTATCAGAATATACTGCAACTGGAAGTATTTAGTCAGTTTTAGCAGTCTAAATCTATTTGCTCCTGATTCCAGAACAGCTGGTTCTATTCTGCCACTTAAAATGGTCATCGGATAAATGTTTCCCTATCTGGACCACCCTGAGGTGGACTGAGAAATTTGTAGGAAGCGGGACTAGCCCTGGAATATAAAATGATGTGCCTGGAATTCTCTACAGTAAAGCTTTGAGAGAAGCACCTTAACAGTCAGTTCTGGAGATGTCAGGGGCTGTTCTTCCTGGCTTCTTTTCATGGCTACATTTAACTAAAGGTGCAGCAGTCCACTGATTTAGTTACGCTTGTGCTAAATCTGGTTTATATCGATTTATCTTTTCTTATAGCATTAATCTGAACTGATGTAGACCAAATTAAGTGTGCCTAAATAGGGATTGGTTTTTCACTCCTTTTACTAAATTGCTTTTTCATGGATTTTAAGGACAAGAGACTACTGCGATAGTCTGCTCTCACTGCCTTCGTTACAGTGCTGAAGGACTTGCCTTGCATTTATTTCTGCTTCAAATTTAGTAGTTGCACCTCAACAACAGCATCTCTTTTAGACAAAATGCCAAATCTAGAGTAAAAATATTCCCATCTTTGTCCTGACTGCAGTCTCTTACAGTGTTACCAAGCCATTCCTGAGCCTGCTCTTTACCAGGTGTACCAGAACTCCCTGTATCCCTCATTGCAAGTACGTAGTTTTAAATCTTTCATTCTTCTTAGGATGATTCTCTGAGAACACTCCACTTTGCCTCAGATTTGGTTCTTCTCTAATATACTGTTACTCTGTGTTGTCCTTACCGATGAGTTGAATAAGCTCTGTACCAATGGGTCTGCCCTCTTTCATTACCCACTTCACCTCTGTCCTCCGTTCTGCAACAGCAAAGGCTTTATGTTGGAAAATGCAGGTGCCAGACCCAACTCTTGTTGGGCTGCACTACCTACATAAATAATCAATTTTTAGTGATTTCTCATCTAGAGTTAGATTTGATGCCAGTGAATCAATTTTCAATCCCTTTAGTACCTGCTGGGCTGTTTATGTACTTTACTCAGCAAGAGGTTTTATGGTAACAAACCAGATGCCATAGAAAGGTTTAAATATGTTATGGTGTCATTGTCACCTTCCCAATTGAGTTCCAACATACATTCAATAAAACACTGTGTAAGGTATGAACTACCCTTATTATGCCCTACATCATCTGGCTCATGATCCAACTGGATTCAGTCAGCTGTCTTTCCCATTCCCTTCAGCCTCTTTCATACACTCAGAAAAAAAGTTTCTTTCAAACTTCTGCAATTTTGATGTTGTTTCAAAATTGCTTTAAATACCAACTCAAGAGAGTTCCCTAAATGGCTTTTTGAAAATTCCTTGATGCTTTTGTAAAAAACATGTTCTCCTCAAACACTTTTTGAGTGGAAAGCATTTCCATGGCACTGTAGCCATACATTATCTACTCCCTTTCCCATGCTCAAACTGCAGTAGAAAACATTTACCTGAAACCAATATGACTCTGCACATGGAGACCCAGCTCTTCTCTCTAACCTTGTTTCTGGCCAGTTATCTCTCTCTCCACCTGCTTTTGTATTTTGGTGCTCCTACTCTACCCTTTTTGGCTTTGCAAAGTCCTTTATTCTAAAGTACCATGGTGCAGAGCAGACTGCTGAAATGAACTCCAGAGTCACTGGTACATCCTTCTCTAGAAATGAGCTACATTTTTGGTAAGAGGTCACTGAAGACAGTCATACCTGTAAGTATCTTAAACAAGGAGAATTCAAAACACCCTTTGGTTTTGCAGAATAGGACAGGAAGAGCTTTGATAAGCAAACACATCACATCTGTTACCCCCAAGTGGGACATAACATGTCAACACCATAAGTTTATTAAAACATAGGGATCTCACTCAAAAAAAAGTGGCATTTGCCAACAGCATTTACACCATTTACACTGAGAAAGCACTGCTGTCCTCCATATTTAGACCAGGGCTGTACAGTGTCATGGACAGGGGCTGCTCACCGCTTTTTCAAACCTGCACTGTGTGCCAAATGACTTTCAATGGGCAGACACGTGTAAGCCCTGTCTTCCTAAAAGACAGCTGAGCCACCTACAGTCAATTCACAGAGCAGCAAAACTGCAACAACCCCTGAGCAAGTTAAACTTGCAGCCCTCCTCCAAATGCTCCCTGAGGACACTGGCAACTTCAGGAAATACATAGCTTACCTTTCCCGGGGTAAAGGCTTGGGCTCTGGCCGAATAGCTGCCATGGAAGAGAGGGGTGGCCTGGCAGGAGAAGGGATGGAAAAATTCAAATCCAAGGAGCCTGTTTTCCTGTGCAGAGGCTCCAATCCCATAGCTCCTTGCATTTCACTCTCAATAGGGCATGAGCCGGCTCGGCCATGACTGGAGAGAGAGGAGAGCTCAGGTCCCACTGCTCCTTGCAGAACTCCTTCGATGGCTGTCTGGGGGTCATGCGTGGGGGACACAGATGGTGGGGAGCGCGACTTCTTTTTTGTTGATGCTCCTGCTAGAAGTTTCAACAGCCCACTCTTCTTCTCCTTCTGCAAAGGAACCAAACGAAATATGGGCAGTGAGCAGACATACCAACTTCCTTTGTTTTTCTATTGAACAATCCCAATGTGTGTGGCAGAAAACCTCTCAAAACTATCATGACTAGAGGTGGATCCAGGTAGAACTTGAGCTTTCTGTAATAAAGATCCTCCCCGTCCAACAGGGCTTCAACTCATTCATCAGAGTAAGGACCAAACATGCTGCAAAGACTATCTCCATTTTCAAATCTATCCAGGTAGTGATCATGTGCCTTTTGAAAGAAATAGTGCAGTTACAGTGGGACAGCAAAGGTACAAACTTCCCATGCAAAGAAGACAGCAGAATGCTGCCCTCTCCCTTCCAGGATAAGGCTGTCCCTCAATAGAGAAATACCCCACAAGTAACAAATCAGGACCTGTGGCCAAAAACCTCTGCTGGGAAGCCCAATGGGCTGAGGAGAGATTTCAGATCCCAGCCCATTGAAGGGAAGCATTCATCATTACTACCTCATTTACTATCTGATGCAGATTTACTGTAGGGAGAATGGAAGCACAAGACAGTGGTTTAACAGTTCTTTTGAGCATGTGCTTCCCTTCACATCCTGCATCACACAGTGATACCTATTCGTGTCTCCCTCCTAGAAGTGGGTCACTTCTCATGTGTTAAGGCAACAGTATCACCTTGATATTTGAAGATAGACCACAAAATTCACAATTGGCAATTGCAGTGGCAGTGCATGAGAAGTTTCAAAGTTCTACAAGGGTTTCTGATACAGAAGAATGAAAAGAAGATAACAGCATCTTTTCAATTAATGTGAAAAAAAATAGTTCAGCCTGCATTACTGAAGAAACATATCTGACATTGTGAGTCTTAGTGCAGTGAGAAATCCTGCTGCACATTTACTTCAAGCCCACATAAATACCAAATACTATGTCCTTCATCTTGGAAGTTTTTTGCATAGAGGGTTTGTGTGCAGAGACTGGCCATCCTCTGGTACATGTTGCACAGCACTAGGCTAGAGTTGCAACCTGCAGTAAATTTTCCATTTCTAAAAAATGATACAAGAAGTTTTGCAAAAGGTCTATTCAATTTCTTCCTCTTTTTCAGAAGAGCAAGGCAATACCCAAAAACTTCAGAGACTCAGGGCTGTGAGGTTTAGCTGTATTTGATAATTTGTTCAATAATAGGATCCCAGGGGATAAAATCAAACCCAGCAACTGCAAGACTTATGGAACAGAAACTACCTCTCTATCTTCAAGTAAGAATACGCTTTGGAAACACAAACCAGTAATTTATTTATTCTCTGCAGACAAAAATGTCCCATGCAAGGTTTAAAATTATGCTTTTATGTTCTGACTGCTGAAGTAATTTTTCAAAGCAGCTTTAAAGAATAGGAGGGCTACAGTAAAATAAATATAAGCTTTTAGAAGATACTCGGGTTTACTACTGTAAATGTACTTGGAGTATCTGGTATCTCTGTTTCCAAAGTTCTTGTCTGCTGTCTTTAACTGTCACAGACTAGTAAGAAAACCTTAGATGTTAAGATACAGAAGAGCTAAAAGGAAGCACAGTTGTTGTGATACAGCCAACATCCACGGATTTTTGAAGAGTAGAGTCTGAACTGTGTCTCCTGAATGCCACTGGTTATGTTTTAAAAGAGCATTTGTCACTTCCAGGATGAAAGTATCCATCCTGCCAAGATGTTCACCCAGTCAGAATCGATGAAAGCTAAAGGAGGCAGGGTGGCACCATATGGCACCATCAGGTCAAAAAAACTAAATCAATTCCTCTGGAAAGGACAGCAAAGCAGACCAAATGCCCTGATAAATATCCTCTTTTCCCAGTGGGAAGTGACTGTTGTGGATAATGTGTCAGGTGTGCATCCTGGAATTCACCTGAAATATCAAAAAAATACTTCAGTGTTTCTCTCACTCTCTAATTAAGCAATATCGTTGCTGTCATCATTACATCAAATTTTAAAGCTCTTCACGAAACTACAAAACTCTCCTTTCCCTGTGGCACACTGAAACAACAGCTCTAATGATCCCAGCATCCTGTGTAAATACGTATTTGAAGGTGTCCAAAGGTCAGTGACAGAATACAACAGCCATTGTGGGGCTCTGCAGAAACGGCTATTGTGCTGCAGCGAGCACTTAGAGCCTCTTTAATTGGCAGCTTTGCACATGCAAAGTAGCTATGTGAACTAAAGCCCTGTATAACGAACAATTAATATTCCTGTGTTGTAGCAGATCTTCTAATTTTTGCTTCTAATTTAAATACCTTGGCAAATTTTCATTAGAAAAACCTTGTGCTACTTAGACCATTTAAGTCACAGAAGCAAAAATATTTGGGAAGAAGGGGGTGCATATATTCACACACATCTGCACATTAAAAAGCAGATGAGTTTGACAGTCATTCAGTTTTGTTTATAAGAAAGGCTTCCTCTCTACAAGGTTAGCCCTGGCATAAATTTCTACACTTAAGCTATTGTCCCTCAGATAACAGAAAGCTATACCGAACTTGCTGATGTACCCTTTGTTCCACTTTAACAAAAGGAAAAATAAACAATTGATTTTTAGCCCCCACTGAGCATTTTACTAAACTTCTGAAATGAAGATCTGCGGTCTCTGAAGAGAGAAGATGACTTAATTCAATTAAGCCTAGTCAAAACCTGAGCAGTACCATCTTTCCAGTTGTGGCCTTGGGCAAGATATTTAGAGGTGAACTGATACCAACCACTTTGTGTGCATGGAGATTAGACAATATATCCAGCTCTTTCTCCTTTAGAGTCTGGCTCTCAGCCTGCTGGTATCGTAAGGCCAGATCCTATGCCGATGCTGCTCAGAGCATTTCAAGCAAAACAAGGACTGTCAGGAGCTGATAATTTCCTGTGACGCCTCTCCTGAGAAACAGACAGGGTTTGAACCTCCTATGATCAGCAGTTCAACCTAAACCACTTCATGTCTCCTCCCCCTTTCTGTAAAATGGGACTAAGTTAAAACTCCTTCTTGTGCTGTGGGAATTCGTTAATGATTCCAGTGTTACAAAGCTGTACGTATCTTCCGGAGCAACCAGTCCTTTTCCATGCTTTAAAATTAAAAAAAAATTACAAAAAATTGGAATGAGATGTTAGCATGCAGTCCCAGTAGTGATTTATTGCAAATGTCCAAGTATTATGAATTCACTTAATATTTAGTGTAATAGCAGCCATCCTTCACACGAAATTAATATTTATATGTCTATTCAAGACAGTCCTTCAGCAGTTTCACTGTAAATCAATGAAGCATTAATGGGCATAAATGCTGTAGAGAAATCTACAACGATTGGTTACAGACTCTGTTGAGATAAGAAGTTTACAGGGGACATATCTGATGACTTTCAGGAATTAAGTTTTTGAATTAAAAAAAGTTTACTTTTTTTCTATTCACAGATGGGGGTTTTATTGTTTTCTAGGAAGTCTGTAATCTACTGAAACAGCTGTGTAATTATTGAGTTTTCTTTGTCTAGTAGCTACATTTCCAACTGACTGCAAACTGTGTTTGACGTTCCTACCTCCTGAATCTGCCAAGGTCAGACCTTCGCATCTGTGTTGATGGATGGATTCACAGTGTGGACAGCACTTCTCCCATCTCCTGGTTACTGCCCACATGTTTAACTGAATATAAATCATCACCTTTGTGTTGCTCAGGTTTTATTCTAGGACGTTCAGAGTCAAAACTTCCAAACCATTAATTTCAAAAGGATTCAAAGAAAAGCTAAAGAGCAGAATTAGTCCTTTTAAATAAATCCCAGGCTGTTTCTAGTTAAGAGAAAAAAAAAGGACTGTGAACAAAGACAGTATAGGCAAGTCAGAATTTCTTCTCTGGCAAAGCCTACACTTGTGACTCTGTTCCTATGGTGTAGCATGAAGGAATCTCAGTGGAAATCAGTCTCTAGCAGCACAAAGATGGGGTGGGCAGCACTTCTGTGACCCTGAAGCATACACTTAGGGGAGCCAGCACTTGAACAGGTGCAAGTTCCTCTCAATATGTTGATGTGGGAATGTTTGGAAAAATGAGTACCATCTGAGTTTAAGAACTCATGAAGGATCAAAATTAAAATCTGAGATATATAATGTTGAAATATTTTGCTTCACAGTAATTGGGGATGATTTTTCCTCTCATTAATAACTCACTTGAAGATAATAACTAGCTCTTCTTTCAGCTTCAGAGATGAGATGAGGACAGAATGCAGCTACTTCATTGATGACTGAGTGCTAACAGAGTCCCCTGTCTGCAGAGTAATAATCATGCCATAATCCAAATACCAATTATATGTTCTGGCTATGTTAATAACGATATATTTTTTTTTAAACCACCCGAATACACAGAACATTTTGGTTTCGTTTTTTTCTATCTTCAGCTCCTAATACTTAATTTTCTGCCTATCTAGGTTCATTAAATAAATGAAGAAGCCTTACTGCAGCTGATAGAAAAGCTGTCTCCAGTCATTGAAATGAGGTAATTTCTCATGCAACACCAGTTACATCAATAGATAAGAGAGCCAGAGGGAGAAAAAGAGGTTTCATTTAAAAATGAAGAAATGAGAAACAAAACTGTTTAAATGCTGCCCTGAGTCCTATGAGGGCTCAAATGCCCTCACAAATGAGGAACTCATCTATCAGTCAGTACCCCCAGACCACCACTTTTATTGCTTGTTTAACTTTGTCAATGCTTGTTTGAGTAAATCTAAGTTAGTGTCTGGAGAATAGTGCATTTTTATTCTGATTCCAACTTGGCTACTGGTGATTGATGCTTGCATTGCAAGAGTAGGTGGTATGTTGGATTACGTCTTTGAAGAAAAAACACTACTTGGGTTTTTAAAATCTGTAAATTATTTTACTTGAGGTTTTGATAATTATTTAAAAAGCCCTGAGAAAACCCCAACCAGCATCATCTCAAAGAAAAGCTTCAGGTCTGGGCTGTCTTTGGATATGTATTTATCATTTGCAGTTTGCCACTATTTTTCATGA